ATATATATTTATTATTGGATATTAGTTGGATGGTCATTGGATGATGAATTGGATTGGAACGGCTCGTTTTATTTGATGTTGGACTGACATCCACCGACCGATTTAATTTGGATGTTGAAAATTTGGATCTGATCCGATCAAATAACAATTGGATGTCCGATTATGGTCGGTATGTTCTAATTGGATCGATCAGTTTAAATTGGATCGAATGTTTTTTTTTGCACACCCCTAATAGCGGCTATATTTGGGTTTTATTAAGTATCAACACCCGACCTTGGCCTATATTTTATGTAAGATTTGATTTCCATTTTGTTGATATTTATTCTAGAATTGTATCTGAAGTAATCAAGTACTGATATATAGTAAGGAATTTATTTTTTAACTGATGTTTTATAAAAAAACTTAAATTAGTCATTCTTTCAGATTTAAAGGTGTTATATCAATCATTCAATTGTTGAAGAATAGTATTGAAACTAACACAGAAGAATATGCGACGCATCAGGTTAATGCTTGTTTTGAAGTTGACAAACAAGAGGTAGAAATCTTACTTTAAATTGAAGTTTATTTTGAAGTCTTAATCTCAGAGGGTTTTTGGATGTTTATTTTTAATGTAATTAAAAAATCAGATAAATTTGTATTTAGAATGCATGGACGGACCCATAATTTTTTCTAAACGGTGGCACCATTTGACAATAAGAAAAAAAAAACATCGGAATTTTTTTGAACGGTGGTATCGTTTGACTAAGAAAATGATACTAACATGATTCAGACTTGGGTGTGGGGTGGAATAAAAGTCTTGCAAACCAACTCTACCAAATAAAACTTGTTCTCATTGTTGTTTCAAAATACATACGGTGACACACAACAAATTAATACGGTTGCACCATTCACGAAACTTAAATTTTTTCCCCTTCGGCAGAGAAACGATACGGTGGCACGTGCCACCCATGGCACTTAACTAGGTCCGCCTATGTTAGAATGAGTGGTGGTGGAATGTTTCTTAAATACATTTACTCTACATAAATAAATTTTATTACCACAACTTTGTATGTAAGATCCCACATCGGTTGGGGAAGAAACTAAAGTTATTTTATAAGGGACTGAATACCTTCTCTACCAAACGTGCTTTAAAACCGTGAGTCCAAGTGTAAGGACAAAACGAACAATATCTAGTACCATTGACCTAAGTTGTTATAAATGGTATCAGAGTTGGAAACCGGACTGGTATCTCAGCGAGGACGCTGAACTTCCAAGGAGGGTGGATTGTAAGATCCCACATCAGGTCTAGAGGGATGGACAAAACAGACAATATATGATACAATTGGTCTGAGTTGTTACATTGTACTTGTGTTAGGCCGTTTATTACTACAAAATGAGTAAAATTAACCGAGTAAAAGTCATCACCCTCATTTTGCAGGATAAGATTTTTGGTCATTTGTATGGTATTAGTTTTAAAATAACTTAAATACGATAATGCAACTTTAACTTAAATAACTTAATATAACTTATTTGTAGTAATTATTTTTACATTTATGATTTATTTTCTTTTTCGGCCAAAGTTTATGGTAGGCCCGTTTTAGAAAATTGCTATTCAGATTAAGGCCCAAAGGTTGGCCCAAAAAGACAAAACATGATCATCTATCTTTTACACGTGGAACACTGTAAAGGGTGAGACCGTAGAAACTGTCATACACCACCGTACCACAGTAACAATCTCCTCACTATTTAAATAGGTTTTCTTTCCCGTTAATCTTCTTTTCCGTTTTCTCATTCTCTCACTCGTCGTTTCAAGCCGGCTATCGATTTCTAGGACAAGGTACGCAGATCTTGGTTCTCTATGGTTCTTTCCGATAATTCATTTGTGCATATAATGTATCAAACGTTGAGCGAAAATCCTTTGCTAATTAATTTATGAATCACAGATGTTTTTGTTGGTTGATTTTGATTTTTTTTTCTTTAATTTGACGATGATCTGCATGTTGTATTGTTTTGGGGATGCTTGTCGATGAATAATTTTATTGTTTCTTTACTCACTTTTTTGATTTGGCGATAGATGATTATCAGTTTATACCTAGAATTGTTTGGCAGTAGTCAAACTAGTGACGTTTATGTAGTATTTTGGGGAATTGTGATTCTCTGAAGAATTTAATGGCCATTAATTTGATTTTCCGAAAAGGTTTGAACCTTCATGTGCGTGTTGAGGTGTGTTTGTGTGTACGCTGTAATATATGGTCATGGACATCGCGAGTCCTAGGGCGAATAATATATTGTGGTGGTGATAAACGCTTTCAAGTAAATCCCTTTTAACTTTGCATTATTTCTGGTCTAGAATGTGTGATTACTTGTCGGAGAAGCTGATTTGGGGATGTTACCATCATAATCTCACACTCAAGTAACCTCGACTTGGTCTGCACGTTCTAGAAAATGTTGTGGGCCAATTTGGATGGAGATTTGTTTGATTGGAATTAAATGGAAGTTCTCATTGATATACTCTTATATAGTGACATCCAGTTCTGAACCCTGCTTGGGGCGTTAATAATCTGCTAAGATGGTTTGCAGAGAGGGAAAACAATACAAAGTAGAGGGATAGAGATTTTGGATGTTGATTAGATGTCCAAACTCCATGAGAATGTTGCACCATGGACAACATTAGCATCTGAAAATTGAAGCACTTGAAGATTTCAGAGTAATAGGAAGTTAATTCTTTAGAGGAATGTCAAGACCATATGGAAATGTTATCAAGGGTATTTATGGTGCTTGTAAAGTATTCATATTCACAGAGATATGCGTTGGATGTGTACTATGAATCTCTTTGTTAGAATAACCTTTTTTCTGATGTACCACGTGCTGATCCGTTAGCGTAACATGAACCTACACTTCACCTTGTAAGAAAGCAAGAGAAGTATGTGTCTGGGCTGGGACCATATTGAATGGTTATACATGCAACTTTGTTACTGTTTTAAGGTTTGCAAAAAATGCTTTAATCATTGGATAAAAGAGATTTTGATAAGTGAGGTTTCTTGTAGATGGAAGTTAAAATTCAGTTTGATAACTTGTTTCGACTTTGAGGGCAAGTTTCTATAAATGAGTGATGAGCTGTGCAGGCCTCCTTGAAGTAAATTTCTCATCAAGCAGTGGGTAAAATTGAAAGATGCCGCGCTCATCAAGTTAATAACCATATAGAAGGCATATCTAGTATCAAAGACAGGTGGTGTGATTTGTAAAGAAAAAAGAGTAAATTATACCGTTGGTTCCGGTGGTTTGCTCAAACTCTGGATCCTGTCCCTATTTCAAAGTATTTACATTCAGTTTCCCCGTGGTTTGCCTTTCGTCACGAGCCGAGTCATCTGCTCTAACTGCGTTTAATGTAATCCTTTAACTCATGGGCAATTTAGTCTTTTTGTCTATTATTAAAAAAGATTTCTAAGAAACCAATAATATGCTGCTACATATCCACCTCCATTCTCCCCCCTGCATCCCGTCAACTTGCAACCCATACACACAAGACACAAACCTTTAAAACACACACCCATGACTCTTAAGAGTTGGGAAATAACCAAGTTGATTAGAATAAATTATTCAAGTTTTTATCTTGAATGGTATCAAACCCATCACATACCAGGTGTAATACATTGGAGACCATCCCTCACGAGTTTGAATGCCTCCCTCTTTGCCGATACAAAAGACATGCATCTTTTCTTTGGGAACAAGAAATATGTTATTAAATTCAGATTCAGTCTGCAATTTGTATCAGTTATATCTAGCAAGAATGAATTGCATCAATTATTATTTTAATTAGTCCATCTATCAAGTAATTTACTCAGGAAAAAATGACATCTAGGTCTAAAGGGTACTCTCAGGTCAGAATAGGTGATGTATATGTCAGAAAAATATCCGGTTGCCAACTGAAGATAATGGGCATTTTATTGCACTTGGTCTACAATATGGCTGTGTAGATGTTTTGCTTGTTAAAGACTTCGAATAATAAATATAAATCCATAGGTACTAGAAGATTGCTAGTGATAAATGCGCTCAATGGTTAGAAGACAATGGGTGATAGATTTGGATGCTTACTGAATTGTGTTCTCCAATTCCATCATAACACTTGGCAAAAAAGGAAATGTAAGCAGACAAAACATGCTTTCCATATGAAGTATGAAGAAACAAAGTTGTCAAGTTTTGAAGTTGTGAATCGTAAACTGAATTCTGAGAATCATCTCACCTTTGTAGGAAGATAATTAGTATGTAAACACGACTACTTCTGATGATGGGAGATTAGATATGACCTGTTTTCATCATTGGCTCTCACGGTTTTCTTATCTTGGGATTTGGGAGCTTCCATGTTTTCCTTTCAAGCAATTATATCAAGCTCCTCTGTTGGTCAAATCATTAATATTAATGGTTGTAAAAGAAGATGCCTCCTCACTGGTCTAGAAGGAAATTTATCCAAACCGCAGGGCAATCTGTGTGGACACCAACATCGAATCTCTTTGACATTTTCAAGTTATAGAATTAATATATCAATGAACTTGATTCAGATTTTTATATTTGATCGGCAAAATCTATCAACATTCAACAATGTAAGATTAAGTAACAAATATTTATATCCCTCTATGTATGCATACTCAATTGGCAATGTGTTTATCAGTTAACCCAGATATGGTTGGATGATCAAAATTTCATATGAAGGTGAACATTTTATTTTGACGGTTCACATCTTATTGAGTTGGGGCTTCGTAGTCATGGATTTTCTTTTGAATTATTCTGTAATAGATTGATGTTACTATGGTTGTATTTTGTAGTTTTCATGTGTTCTGCTAGTGATTAGAAGTATCAGTTAGATATCAAGAAATGCATACAAAAACAGACAAAAGACAGGAGTAGGGTAGGGTTCACTCAGTTATTACTAAATATAACATTCAGTGTGCAATTGAGATCACATTTGAAGAGGACTGTTAAATGCCTAATTGAGCTTTGCTTGCATTAACATTCTTCAGAAACTCTTCCTTAATTAGTTGGAATCAAAGCTTTGGAATGCAAGTTACTAGCATAAACTTTCATGATGCTATGGGCCTCCTTGCTATCTTACATTGTTTTTATCAGGTAAACTGCTTTACCTTAGAGTAGAACATATACGGTTATATGATACTTGATCCCATTGTCAGTCATTCAAGATTCCACATATTTGACATGCATAAACACTTCTGTGTGTTGTCCGATTAGCTACCCCTGTGTGGATTTTTTTGTGGGGGGGGGGGGTACTAAACATTCCTTCTATTCAAGATCAGTAAGTGCACTCAGTTATTCTTCCTCCGATTTTTGACTAAACCCGTAAGCCGCTATGTTTATTTGACTCCAAGCATGGGGTTTTAAGCTTGCCTTTTATTGAAGATCAGTAAGTGCACACAAATTTATCTTCCTTTGGTTTTTGATTAACCTATTGAGCAGCCATGTATATTTGACATGTATAGCTACATCTGCATGTTGGGTCTGACTAGTTAACCTATGTTTTTCGTTTGGGAGAGGAGAGGGGGAGGGGGAGGGGGAGGGGAGTTAAGTATATACGCCATCCTCTGGAGCGCCCACATGACACTCGTCCCATGGCCATCATTATTCATGGGGGAGGTAACTGACTGCGAGTCAGCAACAGGTGGTAGTGCCTGGGCTTGAACCCGGGACCTTCTTTCTGGATGCCTACCATCCCACTGCTGAGGCAACATCGGGGATGAGGAGAGTTAATACGCATGCCTTTGTTAAAGATCAGTAGGCACACCATGTTGTCTTCCTTTGTTTTCTTACGTATCTCTAGCTGCCACTATTGAGGATCCCTTTTAAAACTCTTGCGCATCTGGATTTTCTGCAACCAACTTATTAATGTTTGTTATTACTATACCAAATGAATGGAGGTAGGGTTTCCCAGACATTACATTAGGCCAGATTTCAAGAGGATGAGGCTTGTACAACAGTACAAGCAGAAATGGTCTTAGTTTGGTGCGGTGGAATAGTGCAATTCAAGAAATAAGTGTGCCTGGTTTAAGTACGATAAGCAAGCATCTTGGTAGTATGTATTCCATGGTAGGCCACATGAACTATGATGTTACATTTCATTTCACCATCTCAGTACTTCATATGATTTGGGTGATATTTTGAAATGACAACGGTTAATTCTGCTGAGTATTGCCATGAATTTGTTTGCAAGTTCCTTCTCCTGAATATCATGAGTTTTAATGTGTACTGAAATCTTCAATTGTTTATGGAACTCGGTTCCCTTCATTTGCTCTCTTGAGTCTGTTTTTGGTAAACCTTTATATGGGTTCCTAAAGGAGGTTCTCATCGACTGTCTACTACAATTTTATATGGTGGCTATCTTCGTTCAAGTGATAAAAACTACAAACCCTTGTATGCAAATCATTTTGCACACTTTTTGACATTCCTTATCTTTATCTAGGTCAAAACAAGCCACCACTAAAATGGTCAAAGCATACTCGCAAGAGCACACTTACAAGCACCCGTGGGAGCGAGTGACCTCCGCATCTTGGCGCAAGTTTGCTGACCCAGAGAACAAGCGCACCTTATCCCACATCCTAGAAGTCGACACCTTGAATCACAAACTGGACTCTGAATCAGGTAAACTCTATACGACTCGAGCCATCACGATCCATGCGCCTGGTCCATGGTTCCTTCGCAAGATTGTCGGTCAAGACATCTGCCATTGTGTGGAATCAACCGTTGTGGATGCTCAGACTCGATCAATGCAGCTTGCAACCAAGAACATCAGTCTACAGAAATATGTGGAAGTGGAGGAGAAGATCAGGTATGATCCACACCCAGATAATCCCGACGGGTGGACGATTTGCAGGCAGGAAACCAGCATAAGGATAAAGCCGTTGTCGACGCTGGCATCAATGGCGGAGAAAATAGAGCAAAAATGTGTGGAGAAGTTCCAACAGAACAGTGCCAAGGGTAGGGAGGTGATGGAGAGGATGTGCAAGTATCTGGAAGCTGAATCATCTTCCAGGGGCATTTCTGTCTAATTGTAGGCTGTGTTATTGCAAAAGACATTTTTTGAGTGTTTGAAATAGTAGTGAAAAGAGTAGGAAATAGAGCAAGTAATAAAATGGATTGTAGTGTTGTGATTTAAGGTTGGTTTCTAGTAGAGGTGGACAAAAATGAGTTCCGGGTCGGGTCGGGTCGGGTCCACTTGACCATCTTAGTTTCTAAGCATGTATGTGGGAATGGGGAAGAGCCCCATAATTTTCTGTATTACATAAAAGCTAAGTTGCTTTTTCACCAACCTTGATTTTTCTTCCATACAGCGGTATGTTGGGTTATTATCATATACATAATCACATGTTTTTAACTTTTTAGTAACTTCTAAACTTTTTCTATCGCGAGCATGAAAAAGTCTAAAAAAAAACCAATTGAGTCCCAGTTTTTTTTAATAAAAAAATTATTAAAATTTTTCATTTTGAATGATTAAGTTCTTAAATTATTTTTTAGAAGTTAAAAGTGCAACTTATATCAATCAACATGTGGAAACTGAAATTCGTTTCTATGTTAGTAATCACAACATGCGGCGTTGATCATGCCTTTATTTGCAATATCGTAGTCATTTTCTAAGAAAATTTTCTAACGGGCCATAAAATAAATTTACTTAGCTAATATGTTATTATTTAAACCAATATTTAATTCTATATATATTTATACTATATTGTAAAACATTTGACAAAAATTTTTAAAAACTATTTTTTATATATGAAGTAATGTTTATTAATGCATATTACTTAAAATTAAATATTACAAGTAATTTTGCGTAAGTACAACTTACTAAAGCTCTATTTTTAAATTTGTATAACTAACTGCAGATAAACATAATCAAATACATGATAAACATTCATTTTAAACATAGAAAATCTAAAATATAATTAAGATAATCATTGAGTTCTAACAAAATGTTTAAATATTATCTTTATTAAAAATTATATTATTAAACCAAAAATAAATTACTTTGTTATTGAATCTAAATTGAATTATAATAAAAAATGGAATTAAAGAACTTATACGAAAGAAAAGAGAACTATTAAATAGTTAATTTGATGCTAATGTCGAATTATTTTTTTTCAAAATTTTATGATATCTTTAAATTTATATTTCATTCAAAAATAAAAACATTATCGATTTCTCAGAACCACATAAAAATCGTATTATATCGATAAAGATAAAGAATAAAAACTAAACATTAAAATCGAGATTTATTTCGCTGTATTGCGCGAGTACCCTTTTAGCATATATATAAAGTGTTTTTACTTTCCTTTTTTAAATTATTGAAGGAAAGAGAAAGAGGCCTGATCTCCAACGGACACCTGCCTAACGTTTTAAAAATTTACCGTTAAAATGCATCTATAAACCCACCCCCCAAAATCCCACAATCGCATTCATTCATCGAAACTAACAAGCTCTGATAATGGCCTCCAATGGTGTATTCATCGCTCTCTTCGTTTTACTCATCTCTTCAACTACAATCCTTGCTCGAGAATATGAGTTTTCTACGGCGCCGGCTCCTGCTCCCATGGACACTGGATCTGCAGCTCTTCCCACGATTTCCGTGGCTTTTGTTGCCGCTGCTTTCCTCCTGCTGCTTTCTCTCATCTTCCATTAGCAACATCTTGAATTTCACCTTTTCTTCATATTTTTGCCCTAATTTATAGTTAGGGTTTGTAATGTACTTTGGGTTGTCACCAATACCAATCGAGATTATTATTCTTTTATATTGAAAAACATGTCTTAATCTTCTATGTTTAAATGGCTGTATAGGTTTACCAGGCCATTTGATTGGTTATATGCACCAGTGAGTGTCTTTACATAAAAACTATGCAATTCTAATACCAACCCCACAGTTGCTTGCCTTGCCAGAACCATCACTTTGGGCTGTTTGAAAGAAAATAATGACAAACCATGAAAATCAAAATGAATTTAGGTGTAGTTCAGAGTTTAAACCGAAATGGAAATTTGGGAATACAGTTTCTTTTACATTCAATCTCATTAACAATAGTTTAATACATCTAACTAAACACCCCTTAATTCCCGCTAAGTCATATGAATGGGCTCGGTATGAATGGTTGCCATTGTACATATTAAATGTCAACTAGAAAGATACTCGCGCAATGCAGCGAGATACATCTTAGTTATAATATTTTGTTTTATTCTTTATCTCAATCGATATCATAATTTGGTCTTATGTGATTTTGAAAAGCGATAATGTTTTTATTTTTAAATAAAATATAAATTTGAAGATATCATAAAATTTTGACAATATATATATTAAATTAACTTTCTAAATTTTTTCATTTTTTGTGTAATTTTTTAATTCAATTTTTTTATTATAATTTAAATTAGGTTCAATAACGAAA